AATAATTCAAACTTTACTGACATATGGTTGGTGTTGAAATCGGTTACATTTATTAATCTATACAAATAAATGCTTGTCTGTCTGTCTGTCTACTTGTTTGTATCTAATAAATGTCAAAACGGTTGAACCGATCGGGTCAAAATTTTGTGTGTGTGACCTCGCATGAACCCATTGAAGGTTTATGGATGTTCAGAGCTGACAATTTTGGAATGGTGGATTTCGAGATCAATGCTTGATCTCCTCTTTTTAATAATCTCAAGATTAACTTAATCTTTAGTTTGTATCTTGGAAAATTTGCAAAATTCAACCAATCAGAGTGTTAAAAGTAGAATTCAAAAAAGCCAATCAGAAGCCGAAAAATTAAAAAAATTTAAATAAATGGGAGAACTCATATATTGGTTGCAATCCAGCAGAGAAATAAAAAGTGTCGACTGCAGTGGATACAGAGATTTTAAACCAGGATTACGGCTATATCTGCAATACAAATGTTTTCAGCTCAGAATTACAAAAAGTTGTAAACTTAAAAGCTTTTGATTTTTTTGAAATTTAAAAAATGCATAATAAAAATATTTGAAAACCCGCGAACTTTTTTAGGTACAGTTTTATATTGTACAAAGAGAAGATGCTTACAGATAGGTGGGCAAAGCGGCCAGCTGAAAGCATATATATAGTATGTAATAAATGCAAAAAGTACATGACACCATAAAATTGTAAGAAATTAATATTTTTGACAACAGCAATTTGTATCATTGTATGCTTGTTTTTATACGATTTTACGTTGTTTTACGCCATATTCTTTTAGCATCTCCCTTTTCTTTTAAACTAAACCCAGACAGGGGTAAGTTTAAATTCTCTCAGCACTTTGATTTTCCAATACAATTTAAACCTTTCTCGTTCTTCTTACAGAAACTTAAAGTTTTCCTAATTGAACCAGGAATCTTTTATTTATTGTGTTTCTCTAACTAGCCTCAGAGGATAGAAGAGTAGGGATGGATAGGATGGGTTCATTCTCTCTCATCTCTTAGAATCTAGAAACCACAGTTAATTCCTAACCTTTCAACTATACACTAGAGGATAAGAAGAAGTAAAGGAGAAGAAGAAATTGAGTAAAGAAGTAGGGAAGTAAAGTAGAAGAGTAGAGGAGAAGACAGAGTATTGGAGTAATGAAGTAGAGAAGTAAAGTAGAGGAGTAAAGGAGAAGAAGGAGTATAGGAGTAATAAAGTAGGGAAGTAAAAAAGAAGAGTAGAGGAGAAGTAGATGTATACAGAAGTAAAGAAGTAGAGAAGTAAAGTAGAAGAGTAGAGGAGAAGAAGGAATATAGGAGTAAAGAAGTAGGGAAGCCAAGTAGAAGAGTAGAGGAGAAGTAGATGTATACAGAAGTAAAGAAGTAGAGATGTAAATTAGAAGAGTAGATGAGAAGAAGGAGTATAGGAGTAATAAAGTCGGGAAGTAAAACAGAAGAGTAGATGAGAAGAAGGAATATAGGAGTAAAGAAGTGGGAAAGTAAAGTAGAAGAGTAGATGAGAAGAAGGAATATAGGAGTAAAGAAGTGGGGAAGTAAAGTAGAAGAGTAGAGGAGAAGAAGGAATATAGGAGTAAAGAAGTGGGGAAGTAAAGTAGAAGAGTAGAGGAGAAGAAGGAACATAGGAGTAAAGAAGTGGGGAAGTAAAGTAGAAGAGTAGAGGAGAAGTAGATGTATACAGAAGTAAAGAAGTAGAGAAGTAAATTAGAAGAGTAGAGGAGAAGAAGGAGTATAGGAGTAATAAAGTCGGGAAGTAAAACAGAACAGTAGAGGAGAAGAAGGAATATAGGAGTAAAGAAGTGGGGAAGTAAAGTAGAAGAGTAGAGGAGAAGAAGCAATATAGGAGTAAAGAAGTGGGGAAGTAAAACAGAAGAGTAGAGGAGAAGAAGGAATATAGGAGTAAAGAAGTGGGGAAGTAAAGTAGAAGAGTGATGAGAAGAAGGAATATAGGAGTAAAGAAGTGGGGAAGTAAAGGATAAGAGTAGAGGAGAAGAAGGAATATAGGAGTAAAGAAGTGGGGAAGTAAAGTAGAAGAGTGATGAGAAGAAGGAATATAGGAGTAAAGAAGTGGGGAAGTAAAGGATAAGAGTAGAGGAGAAGTGGATGTATACAGATGTTAACAAGAAGAGAAGAAAAGTAGGTACTTTATACGTTTTATAATGTGAATCAACGTTTCAATTAGGTTTTTTTCTGCTCTCTTCTTTTGATCCATATTCTACCAGATGTTTCATTAAAAAGATGTATATGTATGAATGCTGGAAGATAGTAGCAGCATATTTTTTTGCTCCGGCCCACCGGAGCCGGAGCTAGATGAAACGGAGTAAGAATTATTCACGCAACCTCCCACCGGAGAACATTTTAAAACATGCTATTTAACATTCACGCAACCTCCCATCAGAGGATTTCTTTTAAACAACTTATCAATAGGAAAGATGGTGACTGATTTACTCTCATACCCTGAACTAACCAATTTAGTTTATTAAATTATTCAATTATTTAATCCCTATATCTGTGCAGCCTTATGGTGCAAAGCTTTAATAATATATTCTNGTTTAACTTATGTAACTTATTAATTCGAAGATTCCAAGCCGGCTTTGAGTAACTATTAAATACACCTCCGAGAAAACATTTAAAAGCCTTAAAAATAGAAAAAATAACTCTTTGAAGACTCGTTTTTTTCGGCCTTATTGCGCAGTTTAGAAAAAGGCCCCAAATCAAGTGACCCTGCAGGCATTCACACTTCAAAATGTATGGCAATATTGCGAAAAGGGGGATATGGATTCACCCCTTTAGATTATCCTTTAAGATAGTACTTTCATATTTTGATTATTTTTCAATAATATTAAACATTAATTAGATAATTTACGTAGACATGCTAGAATCAGCAACTATTCTTTTATACCTTAATGATAAAAATAAATTCAAATGGAGGAGATACCCTCCTTGCTAAGATGGCAACGGTATCCTTATAAACTTTAATATCTAAAGGTTTAGTATTCTAGTTCCTAAATGTTTATCTATAGGTTTAATATTATCCTAGTTCCTAAATGTTTATCTATAGGTTTAATATTATCCTAGTTCCTATCTATAGGTTTAATATTATCCTAGTATCTATAGGTTTAATATTATCCTAGTTCCTAAATGTTTATCTATAGGTTTAATATTATCCTAGTTCCTAAATGTTTATCTATAGGATTAATATTATCCTAGTTCCTAAATGTTTATCTATAGGTTTGATATTATCCTAGTTCCTAAATGTTTATCTAAAGGTTTAATATTATCCTAGTTGCTAAATGTTTATCTACAGGTTTAATATTATCCTAGTTGCTAAATGTTTATCTGCAGGTTTAATAGTATCCTAGTTCCTAAATGTTTATCTACAGGTTTAATATTTTCCTAGCTCCTAGTTCCTGTGCAGTAGAGAGGCGCCAGTCACTTAATTTTGTAGAGAAACCACAATTGAAAATAATCAGTTTTTAAAATTTTAAACACCGATATCTAATTCAAACTTATTAGAAAAAACTATTAAGGGTACTGTTGTGAATCGGAAATTACCATCTTTTCATGGAGTGTGTTAAAGTCCTGGGAAAGCTGATCCGGACCTATTTTGGTCTAAAAAAGTAACCTTAATTAATGGCTTTTATAGGAAAAGTTTATATTTTCAGGCAGAGCTGGGTTCCCAAGCTAGTATTGTATCGATGGAAATATAAGAATATTGTATAGCTGACCTTCCGGATCCCTTTCCTCGTGCCAATTAATATACTTTCTCCTCCTAGCCCCTCAATCTATATATAAATTTGGCTTGTCTGTCTGTCTGTCTGTTTGTCTGTTTGTTTGTTTGTATCCAATAAACGTCAAAACGGCTGAACCGATTGGGCCCAAATTTTGTAAGGGACCTCATAAGAACCCAGGGAAGGATGCCCAGAATTACAACAAATTTTTTTCCCAAAAATGTTGCAGAAATTTTGAAAATCTACGAAAAAAAAATCCTCAAAATTTTTATTTTTGTTTTATCTAAGAGAAAATACTCAAAAATTGATTAACAATTAAAAGTTAAAAAAAAAAGATGGGCACGAAGCTCTATGATAGCCTTTGATAAGACGAATATACAGGAATAGAAAATGAATACATGGGGAGTAAACAAACATGAGAATCGAGTATGAAAAAATCAAAGCAGTTATATTTAACCTGAGCTGGGAACTCTTGTATTGTGAAGATCGATATCAATGCTAAATCTCGATCTTTTGTTGATCTGCAGATTAATGTAATTGATTTCCCTCATGGTAATCGTGCCCTAGAGGAATAACTGAATTAAAGAGATTTTTAAGCATTGATCCTCAAAAGTAAATTTACTCACAGTGGATAAAGAGTTCAAGCGATCAAGATGTTGAGATATCCAACAATGAAGTTCCCAGCTTTGTACAGAATCATTCTTGGGCCAAAATTTTCACGTTCATCATCTAATTATGAAATGTCTAACTGCGGTTTCCGAGCACTGTGTGTCCCTCGTTCAGAGCATTCTGTGTCCCCTTTCAGGGCATTCTGTATCCCTCCTTCAGAGCACTTCGTGTCCCCTCTCTCTGAGCACTTTGTGTCCTTCGTATGGACATTAATACCTTTTCGCAAGGAGTTAATCCAGCTTTCCCGAGAATCACCATAGTTCTTCAGTTTTAAAGTTTCCAGCTCATTTCAAAGAGCCTAAAAAGAGTGTTTGCGAAAAGTGAAATGGGCAGAGTATGGTTTTTAATAAATCTAATTCGATATACAGTTACAGAGAACTAACATTAGTAGCGAGCAATCAATATCAAATTCAATTCAATAGAAGCCTATAACCCTTTTTATTTTCGCAAAATCTTTCTTGCATGATGTTGATTTGTGCAAAGAGTACAGAAAAGCAAATGCCAAATTTCCTTTTGAATCTTAAAAATTTTATCATTTATCTTCAATTATATGTTTAACTAAGACTCTTTCAGAATGCTATGAAAAATTACAAGCAGACATTTGTGGCCTTTTTCACGGAAAAAAGAAGAGTTCTCAAAATAGACGCTAGCTCTGATAAAAAATCCTCCGATAAGGTAACCTTAACCATGCTTCAATGTATATAACAAAACTTTCCTCCAAGAAAATTCCCCGAATTGCAAAACTTTCCTTCAAAGCATGTTTCCTTCGGGCAATTACACAGCTAACCTTCAACATGGTTCTTCCTTCATTGCAAAACTTGCCTCCAATCAAGATTCCTCCGATAAATATCAATATTAGTCCCTCAAATGCAATTCCCCCGAAAAAATGACAAAAAGCCCAACACGACTCCCCAGGTAAATAACAAAATTTGCCTTCAATGCGATTCCTCCGATAAGCTTCCCTCCAACAAGATTGCTCTAAAATGGACCAACATTCCTCCAACAAGGTTCCAATCTCAGAACGTGATTCTGTTTGTCCACAAAGCTACAATTGTTAAAGAAAATCTTTTTTGTGCATTTAAAAACACGCACGTTCGTTTCAGATTCTTGAAGAAAATTTTCTATTCCAAACGACTCTCGTTCACGGTGTCCAGTCCTAGCTAGAGATGGACACATTTGAATTTTTCATTTCGTTCGTTCTTTTTTCTGGAACGACCAGTTTTGTTTGTTCTCAAAATTATCATTAATCTTCCCCATCTATTTCGTTTGAATTCTTATTGAATGATCGTTCAGTAAAATAGTTCGTTTTGTAAATTGCTCCTTCTGTAAATCATTCGTTCATTAAAAAATTATCGTTTTTTCAAAAATTATATGAAAAAAATTGTTTGTTATGGAAAGAACTACTGTTTTTAAAAGTTTTATTCCAAAAAATCGTGCCTTCAGTAAAAAAAACCGATAGTTTTGTAAAGGTTTTTTGAACAATTTGTTCGTTTTTTCAAGTTTGTTCGAAAGTTTTTATAGCGTTCGTTTTTTGTTCGTTTTTGAAAAACGATAATTTTTTTATTCCTCTGAACAAACCATTTCGTTCGTCCATCGTTTTTTGTAAACAAAGCCCTTTTCACGAAAATTTTGTTCGTTCTCAAAAATTTGGTACGTCCAAAAAAAGATGCCAATTTCTAATCCTAGCTATATGATGCCCACCTCTAATCCTAGCTACATGATTCCCATCTCTAATCCTAGCTACATTATGTCCATCTCTAATCCTAGCTACATGATTCCCATCTCTAATCCTAGCTGCATGATTCCCATCTCTAATCCCAGCTACATGATTCCCATCTCTAATCCTAGCTACATGATTCCCATCTCTAATCCTAGCTACATGGTGCCCATCTCTAATCCTAGCTACATGATGCCCATCTCTAATCCAAGCTACATGATGCCCATCTCTAATCCTAGCTACATGATGCCTATCTCTAATCCTAGCTGTATGATGCCCATCTCTATCCTAACTACATGATTCCCATCTCTAATCCCAGCTACATTTGGCAATCTACTGCTCTAGTTCTAAATTGTAAATAATTATTTTAGGAGATGAAAGAAGACGATGAAAAATTCAACATGAATCGATTCTATTCAAAGAAATCCAGTGAAAGTAAGTATTCATTGGTTCAGAAAATTAAATTAAAAAGAATCTTCGTCTTATAGTTGTTCAAAGATAAAATCAAATCAAATCATCTATTTCTCTTGAAAAACAATATTTATGAATTTAATTTGTTCAAATCACAATATATAAAATAGTATTTCCGCAGCAGGCGGACTCATGAATAGCAAGGGACTGTTTTAGCTGAGTCCCCCTGTTAACCAAATTCTTTAATTGATTTATAGAAAAAAAAGGCTGAAGTGCCCAGCATTGTCCGTGTAAGAAAAAAACTTTATTTTTGAAGAAGAAAAAAATGACGAAATTTGTTTAATGTTGATCCCCGTGAACCCATGGGTTTCCTAAAAATATGTCAGCCCATTTGGTCCAGCCGCTTGGCCATCTATAGCTAACATATATACATACAAATATATGTGAGCAAAAGGCTTTTTTATATAGATAAAAAACACAGAAAGAACTAATTAGAAAATCAGTGCAGTATGAATCGAAGGTGGTGCAAGGAGGAAGAGAAGGATTCATAACATAAACAGAGAGTAATTAATATATTTGATTTTAAATAAGAACTTGGGCTCAAAGTGAACAGAGAGTAATTATTATATTAGATCTTAAATAAGAACTTGGGCTCAAAGTAAACAGAGAGTAATTATTATATTAGATTTTAAATAAGAACTTGGACTCAAAGTAAACAGAGAGTAATTAATATATTGGATTTTAAATAAGAACTTGGGCTCAAAGTAAACAGAGAATAATTAATATATTGGATTTTAAATAAGAATTTGAATGGGCTCAAAGTAAACAGAGAGTAATCAATATATTGGATTTTAAATAAGAACTTGGGCTCAAAGTAAACAGAGAGTAATTAATATATTGGATTTTAAATAATAACTTGGGCTCAAAGTAAACAACAACTACGACTAAGAAATATAGCTGTTCTATCAGCATAATTGTGAAAATAAATTATTTTGAATTGGACATATAATTAAAATAGAGAAATTACAAGATTGTCTATTCCTCGATTTGAAAATTACAAGCTTTTATTATTCCTATTTCAGTGGAATTACGAGCTTTTATTATTCCTATCTCAATGGAATTACAAGCTTTTATTATTCCTATTTCAATGAATTACAAGCTTTTATTATTCCTATTTCAGTGGAATTATAAGCTTTTATTATTCCAATTTCAGTGGAATTACAAGCTTTTATTATTCCTATTTCAGTGGAATTACAAGCTTTTACTATTCCTATTTCAGTGGAATTACAAGCTTTTATTAATACTATTTCAGTGGAATTACAAGCATTTACTATTCCTATTTCAGTGGAATTACAAGCTTTTATTATTCCTATCTCAGTGGAATTACAAGCTTTGATTATTCCTATCTCAGTGGAATTACAAGCTTTTACAATTATCCCTATCTCAGTGGAATAACAAGCTTTAACTATTCCCAGATTCGCGGAATTACAAGCTTTGAGTATTACTATTTCTGTGGAAGTACAAGCTTTTACTATTCCCATTTTGGTAAAATTCCAAGCTTATTAATTCGTATTTCATTGGAATTCCAAGCTCATTATTTCTATTTCAGGGGAATTACAATCTTTTTATACTAATTCCAGATTGGTGAAATTCCAAGCTTATAATTCCTATATCAGTGGAACTACAAGCTTTTACTATTCCTAGATTATATGTATTATAATACAAATATTGTATTATTCTTCATTAAAGGAAATTACATGTAGCTCTTTCAAAAAATTAAAATTTAAACAAAAAAATCTCGATTTTGTTTTTTAGCTTTCCTTATGTTTTCTTCAAAACAATCGCACGAAAAAAAATAGAAGCCTTTTTTTCTATAATTATTTTAAAAACATTTTTCTTTTTCAAACATTCACAATCTATTCTGTTTTCAAGGGCGTTGTTTAAAATTTGCAAACTTCAGGTAAAATTGTAAAACTTTTTGAAATGAAAAAGGATGTTTATAAAATATTTTTAACAATGTTTGGGGAAGAAAAGGAGGTAGGATGGTTTGACAGGGAAGGGGAGAGGGGGAGAAGAAAGAGGGAGTAGAAAAGGAAGGTGTAAGGGTGAGTATAGAGGGAAGGTGTAAGGGGGAGTAAAGTGGAAGGTGTAAGGGGGGGGGCAGAATATAAAGAAAATTGAAGATTAATAGGCCTTGGTTAAATGATTGATCTGAAGTGCATCCCCTTGAATTGAATTGTCTTCAACTTAAAAAATGGAATCCCAGAAATATTATTTAATTTTTTTTTTTTCAAAGAAAAAAAAGTTGAAGAAAGAAATAAGAATTTCTTTATCCTAAAATCTGCTGGGTTTGCTATTTTCTCACATTTTGTTTCTTTTTCAGTAGAAATCAGGAAATTTGAAGGTTTTTTATTTTTTGCATTTCTCTAAAACTTAATTGCATTTAATAAAATCTCTCTTTATGAATTAAGTGGAAAAATATATATTTCTCATTGTGAGAAATTCAAAAGTTTGCATTATCTGACTACAGACTATAGAAAGTTTTTATTCCCATTTATGAATTATTGTGTTTTATTTAAATTGTTGTGTTAAAATTTATGTAATATAAATTTATAAATAGTAAATATACCTGGTCAAAGATATACGTTATTATTCCTTTATTCTAATTCTAATCGTCTGAAGATATTGTAACAGTGGGCGAGTTTTGTTGATCAATTCCATTCCCTCCTCCCTCTCCTTTTTTCTTCTTTCTTCTATTCCTTCTCCTCCTTTCCACCCTCTCCTTCCGCCCCCACCCTTCCCCTTTACCCTTCTAAACCATCCCTTACTCCCTACCCTCCGGCCCTTCTACTTTTAGGTTAAGAAAAAACGACATCTTTATTTCAATAGATTAAAATAAAACCAATCCTATATTTGTTATTCTAGAAAAGAAAGGGCAAGGAAAACATCACTGGGCTGTTTTAAGAAGTGCTCTGCTGTTTGTCAGGTATTTGCCAAGTATCATTTAGCTGTTTAAATTCCCCTTCAAAATAAACAAAAAAGTCACTTTTTGAATTACAAAACTGCTCCTAACATTCGACATACACTGCTAAAAGTCTAAAACTACTCCTACGCATGAAACAAAAAAGTCACCGTAAATTTCTAAAAATACTCCTACACATGAAACATAAAAGTCACTGTTAAACTACTCCTGCAAACTGCATACGGATAAACTGCTCCTACATACGATACAACCACTGTTAAAATTCCGAAACTACTCCTCTACATACACTACAAAATTTTATTGTTATAATTCCAAATTTATGTTTTGATTTAAAGCAGGCTTTTTTTAAATTAAAAGTTTATAAGTAAACTTAGAGAATCTGCTAATTGACAGCTTCTCTTTGTTTCCATGTTTATGTGTATATGATGTTTATGTGTACATATGATGTTTATGTGTATATATGATGTTTATGTGTATATATGATGTTTAAAAGCTTGTTGGAAATTGAAATCGAAAGTCGACAATGTACTTTGAGCTTTCAGCTACGAAAAATAAAAATAAAAGTGCAGTATACTGTAGTTTTCAAAATGAGAATCAAAATACATGAAATAAATATAGTAATAACCTAATTCCCGTGTCTTGTATATATACCATATGTTCGTTAATCTTGGCACAGACCTATCAGTCAGTTTCATTTTTACCTGTATCATTAAACTCAAAATATATTCAGTTGAATATGAACTCTCTCTTATGACGGTTCAGTTAAGTATTAGCTCTCGGTAAGGGGTGTAGAGTTTGAGAGGGTTGTGGGTGGATTGATACACACTTAAAGAAATATTGGAGTAAGGAATTCATTACATACATGTGTACATTTCTTCTGATTTTCTACACAATTTTTGTCCTATTGTTACCGGGTTCGTATGACGACTGAAGGGGTGATATTATATTAAAAAATAAAATAAAATAAATAAAATAAAAACAAATAATCTGGATTTTTCCTATCCCCCTCGTTCCACTGATGCTAGAAACAAGCTCGTTACTGTTCTAAAATATATTTCTCTTGTATGCATGGTTACATTTATTGATTCATGATTGTCATAGCCGTCTGTGCAAGCTACGATGATATTTGTTTAACTTGTATACAGTACATACGAGTAGTTTTGTGATTCTAAGAGTGTAAGTTTTACCAACAATATCACACATTGAAATAAATAAACTGAAAATTCTAGTGTTTTTAAATATAGAAATCTTGATGATTATTGTGGTTTTGTTCTCCAATAGCTAAATGTTTTAATATAGAAATTTTGATGATTATTGTTGTTTTGTTCTCCAATAGCTAAATGTTTTTAAATATAGAAATCTTGATGATTATTGTGGTTTTGTTCTCCAATAGCTAAATGTTTTTAAATATAGAAATCTTGATGATTATTGTGGTTTTGTTCTTCAATAGCTAAATGTTTTTAAATAAAGGAATCTTGATGATTATTGTGTTTTTGTTCTCCAATAGCTAAATGTTTTTAAATATAGAAATCTTGATGATTATTGTGTTTTTGTTTTGCAATAGCTAAATGTTTTAAATATAGAAATCTTGATGATTATTGTGGTTTTGTTCTCCAATAGCTAAATGTTTTTAAATATAGGAATCTTGATGATTATTGTGTTTTTGTTCTCCATTAGCTAAATGTTTTTAAATATAGAAATCTTGATGATTATTGTGGTTTTGTTCTCCAATAGCTAAATGTTTTTAAATATAGAAATCTTGATGATTATTGTGGTTTTGTTCTCCAATAGCTAAATGTTTTTAAATATAGAAATCTTGATGATTATTGTGGGTTTGTTCTTCAATAGCTAAATGTTTTTAAATAAAGGAATCTTGATGATTTTTGTGTTTTTGTTCTTCAATAGCTAAATGTTTTTAAATAAAGGAATCTTGATAATTATTGTGTTTTTGTTCTGCAATAGCTAAATGTTTTAGATATAGAAATCTTGATGATTATTGTGTTTTTGTTCTGCAATAGCTAAATGTTTTATAAATATAGAAATCTTGATGATTATTGTGTTTTTGTTCTTCAATAGCTGAATGTTTTAAAATAAAGAAATCTTAATGATTATTGTGTTTTTGACAAAAATGAGAATACGTTTACAATTCATACAGTGATACCCAGAAAACTGTAGAATAGGATTACGACATTAAAGCAATAATAAATAGTATCTGATGCGATTACAAAGTAAATAGTTTTTCGAGTAAATTATAAAATTAGTTTTTAAGTCATAATTGGGCCTTTTTACACCGCGCAATTGTGTTGTCTCATGTTCATTGCACTATTTAGAGTCATTAATTGAGTCTGAAAGTCGTCTCCCTATTTCAGAGTTTTCTGGTTATCCCTGTAGTTTTTTATTTTGTTACCACAAATTCAGTTCCTTCCTTCGTTCGTTTTTCAAGAGCTTTAACATTTTAAAATTTTGAGATTTTGCAACACAAACCAGAAAAACTATTGTTTTTTTTGGTTCGTCGTTTAGTTCGTTAAAATGCAGTAAAGTGTAAGAAAAGCAAATGTTAAAAATTTAAATTTGTAAAACTTCTAAAATTTTTGTTAAATCTTTTGAAATGTTGACAAAAGTCAGAAAGTTTGAGCTTCCTGCTCAAATACTTTTTGAGTTATCGCAAACAACGATGGGGGGGGGGATCAAATTAAGCCCCCCCCCCCTTCGGTTAAATAGGGCTAAGTTAAGATTTTTATGACCACGATACAGTTTTCTGGTTTTGATATTTTAAGTCATGTTAACTGATTACCTCAAGACAAAAAAACTGGTTTTTAAACATTTCTTAATTTTAGAACCATGGGGCGGTCACATTATCCATAGATTATAGTTATGCATTAAAAATGCTGCAGTTTTGACCATTAAATAATAGATTCTTGTAAACAAAACAGAAAATATAATATATTAATATAATTGGCAGCGGGATGATTTATGAACCCTGAGATAAAAACTTTTAAATAAAACGGAAAGAAATCAATTCTCCTGCTGCAGTAGTTTTACATATTCTAATTGTACTATGTTTTGTTAATGTAATAATTATTACTGGAGAAAAATGTATTGCTGTTCAAAATAATTTAGTTCCAGATAAGTCCTGAAACCTTAAATCTACTGAAAAAAAATAATTATCTTCCTATACCTAACCCCCCCCCATCCTTTCCTCTCTCTAAAACTAATGTACTAACTGCGGCCAGATTTTTTTTACCTTTGTTGTTTTTACTTTTAAATAAGAATTTTAGATATTTATCTTATTTCAAATCTTTCTGTATAAGTTTGGTTTTTTGTTGTGTGAAATGTTTACTATGCTTGATAAAGAGAATAATTAAAACTATTTTTAAAAAGAAAACAAATCAATTTAAGTAATCGGTATTTTTTCAGGAATTTCCTAGCAAATACTCCCGGCCCTCGCCTCGTTTTTCAAATAAGAAACCTCAATTATTCTTTCTCTATAAACTTATGTCCTACATCGGAGTAGCATTTTGCGCAAAGTAATAAAAGCAAATTCTAATCAGATTCTAATGGAGCCTTTTAAAAAAAGTAACTAAAAAAAAACTAACTTTACAGTACTGTACTGTACTGAACTGTATTGTTCTGTACTGTACTGTAATGTACTGCAGTGTGTGTCGGAGAGCCACGAATTCTAAGATGAGAAAGGAGGAGAGGGAAATATCAGAAGAACAAAGATATCCAATCTTCTTAGGTAATTTTCATATTTAAACACAAGACTTTAAGGCGCTTTGTGTCCATTTTTAAATAACAGTTTAGTATTTAACCACTGTTAAAAACTAAATTTTCGCGAATTTTTCTGTTTAAATTGGTGGATTTCAAAATACTTTTAAATTACTGTCTATAGACCTTCCTGCGGTCTACAAATATCTTAACAAAGATAGTACAAAAAAAGAGTAACAGAGGCCTTTTTTCAATTTTTAGTTTTATGCACAGTTTTAAAGGACTTTTTATAAAACCACCCCCAAGATCCATATGTTTTGTTATAATATTCCACTTAATAAAAGTGCAAATATGAATGTCTTTGCAAAGTTTGACAAAAAAATCCATAATTTTCTAGTAGTATTCCAGTTTTATTTAACTATTTTTTATTTTTATTACATCATTATGTATTTCTTTTACTTAATACTCACCCTCAGTTTTAGACTTTTTATATCTTACTTAAAATATAATTGAAAATTTACTTAAGAATTTTTTTGTCAATTTTTTCGATTATAGTTTTTAATGAGTGGGTACAAAACGTCGATTATCAACACGTAGATTATCAAAACGTAGATTATCAAAACGTAGATTATCAAAACGTGATTATCAAAACGTAGGTTATCAAAACGTAGATTATCAAAACGTAGATTATCAAACCGTAGATTATCAAAACGTAGATTAACAAAACGTAGATTATCAAAACGTCGAGTAACAAAACGTCACATTACAAAACGTTGGTTATCAAAACGTAGATTATCAAAACGTCGAATAACGTCGAATAAAAGACGTCAAAATATTAAAAATCGTCGACTATTTCAGAACAATATTTTTTAATAATAACATATCACTGTAAATATATTGAATGCAACCCAACACTTAGATCTACTGTTATCAGATTAAATGAAAAATAGTATCTGCTACAAATAACTGACAATCTAATCTTAAAATGTCAGAGAAACAAAAACAAATTACTTCTTTACATTTTTAGGTCAGGTCTACACTGATATAGAAGCAGATAAACCAGAAAGTAATGAAAAATAAAGGCACTGTACACTTAATGTCAAGAGACTCTTTATTAATTGCATTTTCGATTCACACCGGTACCTCCAGGAAATTACGAGAATTAAAACATTTTCTTAACTTAAACAACAATATCCGAAAAAGAGATAGCGGGTACTCTGGTGAATCTGGTATGCAGGTGCGTTAACTTGAGGGTCTCATAAAATTAGGTTTACAGTCCCTTTAACTTAATCAACCATCAAGACGAATCCCTATATTATTGAATGGTATATGTTAATTAGAATATATTTGTAAATAAATGTATTTATCAAAAAAGCTTAAATATATTTTTTTCTAAAGGGAATTTCCGCTGAGATTAGAAAAACCTTCAAATTTGCTGACTTATAAAAATGGTTAATTTTGAAAGGGGTTTAGAGCCAGACAGGGTGTCTACAATTTGCTAAATAAATATATTTCTCTATCATATATTGTGTCGTCCTTTTTTACTTTTGATTAAGGATGTACTACAGTGAAACCCTTAATAACGAATACATCGAAAGAATTCATCAAATGTCGTATTCTTCACTTTCTGATAATGGAATGTTGCAGATATTTAGTTTTTTTAATTAAATAATTATATGGAACTCTTTAAAACTGTTCCCACATATTCATGGCTATTTATTTATTTTCGCAAGTACTGAAATTTACGTAATATAATATAAAACTCATTGAAAAATTGTCAAGACGACATTTGATAAATTCTTCCGATGTATTCGTCATTCAGGGTTTCACTGTACTTTCCTGTCAAAGATAATTAATTCCAAAGCTGGAAGAATTGGGTTAACTCAGATCATTACAGAGAGGAAGTACATACAGTGTTCATGCAGAGCTGGGAACTTTTGAATGGTGGATATCGGGATTAAGGCTTGATCCACTCTTTTTCTTAATCTTGAGATTGAATAATGCTTGTTCTCCTCTTGTTATTGATCTCCAGATTAATTAACCGATCGGGATTAAGGATATCCCGTGGTCTAAAGTTTTCAGCTCAGTTTAATGAATCTAAATGTAAAGTAGGACATATTGGAAAGAATAATTCAAGAAATGAATATCTCATGAATGGAGAGGTACTGGAGGTTTCTGACAAAGAAAAAGATGTAGGAGTAATCATTTAGGAGGACTTGAAACCTGCAAAACAGTGTGCTTCTGCTGCAGCTAAGGCTAACAGCATATTAGGCCAGATAGCCAGATCCTTTTCATACAGAAACAAAACTGTATGGATATCTCTGTATAAAACTGTATGGATATCTCTGTTTAAAACTGTATGGATATCTCTGTATAAAACTGTATGGATATCTCTGTTTAAAACTGTATGGATATCTCTGTTTAAAACTGTATGGATATCTCTGTATNCTAGGGGAGGGCGCGCGCCCGGCCGCCCCCCCCCTAGTTGCGCCTCTGGGCTGCAGTGAAGTTAAAAAAAAGATGTTTTAAATAATCACACGTGATATATAAACATTATAACACACCAACTAAACCAAATTAAAATTAATTACTTTACATTTTATTGATAGATCAACAATATTGTACCGGTAAGTACAGATGTCAGAATAGACAGTATACATAATTTATTTTTTATACATTCAATATTCATAATTACCAGTTACGACAAGCTTTTTTTGCTGTAAACTCATCAAATATTCCAGTAAAAGACTTTATCAAAAAAGTTAAGGAAGTTTATTTTAAAGAGTTTAAAAGGGTTTAAGGTTGTCATTTAATTCTCACCCTTTGAAATATATATATAATCATCGTTTTTTTTTCGACGCTTTAGTATATAGTTGATATTTCATAACATGTTTTATTTGTTTTATATATGATGCAATTTAAACGACTATTAGTCGGCCGCTATAGGTGTCTCTGCATTCTCAATGTTTCTGTGGTTACACATGGGAGAGACACCGAGCGTACAAAAAATCGTCGTTTAAAGTGCATTGTATATAAAACAAATAAAATATATTATAAAATTTCAACTATATATACGAATGCGTCGAAGAAAAAATCGATGATTATAGGCTGTAATATCTGAATAATTTGAAATTTAATTGATTTTTTTACAATCCAAGTCAAATATTGCAATTTTCTGAATTTGTATGGATGCTACGTTCTTTGGTATTAGTACTGAGTAGTATTTAACCATTTTCTCCTTATAACGCTACAGATAGAAGTAAGATTAGTAGCAATCACCATCGAATATTTTTCGACGTAAGCCTATATCCCCTTTCATTTTTCGCGAACACTCCCTTTAAAGTAAATATCCTTCCTTTGAAAAAAAACTATGAGAGTAGTAAAATAAAGATCTGAACTTTTTTATTATAAAAACTTCAATTATAATTATTGCACCTCTAAGTGTATATTCCGTATTTCAGAAGGAACAATGGACATTGTTTATTTTATCATGGGATAAATATATATACATATATATATATAATTTTAGATATTTATCTTATTTCAAATCTTTCTGTATAAGTTTGGTTTTTTGTTGTGTGAAATGTTTACTATGCTTGATAAAGAGAATAATTAAAACTATTTTTAAAAAGAAAACAAATCAATTTAAGTAATCGGTATTTTTTCAGGAATTTCCTAGCAAATACTCCCGGCCCTCGCCTCGTTTTTCAAATAAGAAACCTCAATTATTCTTTCTCTATAAACTTATGTCCTACATCGGAGTAGCATTTTGCGCAAAGTAATAAAAGCAAATTCTAATCAGATTCTAATGGAGCCTTTTAAAAAAAGTAACTAAAAAAAAACTAACTTTACAGTACTGTACTGTGCTGAACNCCCCGCCAACCCATCGTTTTTTTTGCGATGACTCAAAAAAAGAACATCTGAGGCTGTTCAAATTTTATCACTTTTCTAACCATAATTGCATGCCCCTCACTTTAGGCTAAAAGCTGGTCTTTTATACCCACTGCCTCAGTCCTCAAGCAAACTGCCTGAAGTCCTTATTTTACCTTTACCCCTCACTTACCTTTACCCGACTAAATCTAAATTTAAACCTACTTACAGTCATTGAATTTCAACATTTTTAGCTCCTTGGAAAGCCTTTAACACAAGAGGAAGCAGATTGCACAATTTCTGCTGCAGAGAATTTTTGCGTAGATTTTTGCATAGACGCCTTATAAGGGAATTTGCACGATTTAGTTTTTCTTGAAGGTTTAGAAAATTTTGCAAATATTGTTGCAAATTTATATTCGCTTACAATGAATCTTGAATTAAAAACTAAAACATCTTTTAAATATCAAATAAAAACTATTTGTATTTTGAAGTTTTCCCTGGACCTTGAACCCTCGTGTGACCACATTTCTACTCCCCTCCCCTGCCCCCATTATGCAATTCAGCATTCCACCCCCACACCCTCCCTTCTCCTCCCCTTCCCTCCTCCAAGCTCAATCCCCGGATCTTGCAAACATCCTTACATGCATACAATGCACAATACACTTGGCCATTCATTTGGTTCCATATTATCATAAATTCGAAATTCTTTTGATTTTCTCCAAAACTTCTTTAAAAAACATTATGATTACATTTATAGCAGCTAGATGTAAGATCTAGCTGCTATAATTTATATTAGGAAATTAACTTAAAGAAAATGTAATCTTCTATGAAACTTATAATGAAAATGTAACCTTCTATGAAACTTATAATGAAAATGTAACCTTCTATGAAACTTATAATGAAAATGTAATCTTCTAAGAAACTTAAAATAAAATATGTAATTATATGAAATGTAACTTATGGAGAAAATAATTACGTAAATATCTTTATTTATGCTTCTTTTTTATAGAAATCATATCTAAACTATAATTTTTCTTTATTAGATTATTTTTATAAACTTGCAATTTATCATTTTTTAACATGATGATTACTATCATTAAACATCGATTCTATAATTTTATAAAGTTTAATTCTACATATCTTACAAACTGCCCCCGGGTGTTTGCATGAATATACAAGCTGGATCTATCTGGTTTAACGTGTTGACATTTTTTCTTGTATTAACAATTGTTAATTAATTTTTATTTAATTTTAATTTTAACAAATTTTAATACTTTCTATAAATATGTATATAATATGAATAACAAAACGTTATAAGTAAATATATAAAACTGAAGGAAATGGGAAAAGTTGCAAACGTTTTTTTCTGGTTTAAACTCGTAAAATCTTCTGGGTTTACAATTTACTTCTTACAATGTTTATTTATCTAGATATATCCAGATTCAAATATATTTCTGTCCATGTTTATAGTTCCTATCTCTACACATGCTGGATCCACCCACCCTTCCCTCTTTGCCTTGCCCCCTGTCCACCCAGT